TTATTAATTCCCTTGCTTGATTTTTACAGGTGGGAGGATGGACGATTGAGTACGATGGACTGACGTTTGTGACGATTAGAGGAGCGGGTCACCAAGTTCCTACGTTCAAGCCAATGCAGGCTCTGGTGCTCATCAGTCGTTTCTTGGGCAACAAGAAGATGCCCTCTTTCCCATGGCCTTCTAGCTAAGCTGAATTCCATTTGATTGGTCCATTTGGGCTTACCATGCATCATGAATATTCAGTTTGTTTCGATTTTGTTCTTTATTATGTAGCACTCTCTTCCCAATAAGGTATTAATGTTATTGTTCTGTGGCTCTTTTTTGTTTCATAAGATCTCATCATACATTTTGGCGAGGTTTAGATGAATGCAACTAGATGGTGGTATCAAGTACAGTATAGTGGGAATATCTTATTTGGACCCGAACTATACCTATATAATCAACTTTGGCCAGTAGTTTTAGAAATTGTCATCTTGACATCAACTATATATACATTATATAGACTCAATTGACCCGACATATGGTTTGAACGTCAATTTGGACGATCAACGGTCCAGCTTACTGCCATGTCAACACCAAACAAAAAAAAAATCAAAATATTTTGGTATTTCCTTTATCTAATTAATAAGATAATAAATAATGATAAGAAAAAATAAATTAAACAAATTAATTTTGGCCACCCATCGCCAACTTATCCCCTCTCCTCTTTGTAAATAGACGTTCAAACCACACCTTGGGCCAATTTAGTCTATATGATATATAATTGAGGTCAGAATGTCAATTTTGAAACCATTGGCCAAAGTTGATTATATGGATATAGTTCGGGCCAAAATAAAATGTTTTGTGCAATTGATTTTTTTTGCTTTGAGTTTGATTTTGATTTCATTGTTGAATAGTTTTGCGGGGAAGTAGGCACTGAACACCAGCTCCTCGATCAATTGTCATATTCTTATTCACTCAATTTCTTCAACCGGGAAGTACACAGTCTAGACTCTTTGTAACGCAATTGGATGGAGACAGGTTAAGATACTATTTTATAGTAATCACCGTGGTTACTAAGGGCAAATTGGGTATAACAAAAAATTTATTAATGATCTTTTCTAATAAATTAAATTTTAGGAAATTACATAAATATATTAAATACAATTTTTCTCTCTCTCTTTCTCTCACGTCCACAATTTTTCAGCCAGATCTCTCTTCCTTCTTTTTCTCAATCTTTTCTTGATTTCGTTCATCCAAACTAATACCGCTGCAACAACAAAACAATAAATCAATACCAATCCATTAAAAAAAATACTACCATTGTACAAAACATCAATACCATTCAAGAAATAAAAAAAACTATCATTTCACAAAACATCAATACCATTGCAGATTTGAGATTTTTCCAATAATAGCACCTTTAAAAAAAAAATGACAAAACTAGCACACATCCGATAAAATTTACACTACTAGCACCTATTTTTATGGAACGCACCTTAGAGGTGCGCTTTATGCCAAGTCAGAATGGGAAACGCACCTCCAAGGTGCGTTCAACGTTTGGTGGCCAGCGGCCTTACAGTCCGCACGATTGTGGTGCGATCAAGCGGGCAGGAGCAATGCCACGTCAGCAATCCGCGTGGTGGATCGGAGAACGCACGGGGGAGGAGCGGTTTTCGGCCTTGAAAAACGGAGCGTCGCTTTTCAGAGCGGTCAGCTCCTCGGGACGCGGAGACCACATCAGAAGGATGCGTTTTCAGCGCTGGTAAAATTACTAGACCGCCCCTGGAGGGTGCGGTCTGATGGGTATAAATACCCCCCTCCCCCTCTCATTTCTTCACACCACAACCCATTCTTCCTTCTCTCTCTACAATTTATCTCTCTAAACCCTCCCCACCCAAAAGCCTAGGAAATATAAGTCTGTTGGTTGCGGCTAAGCCCGATCTGCCATCAGAAAATATTTCTTAGGTTTTTTCCTCTAAACCCGCCGAGCCGAGCCGAACCTCTGTCCGAATTTCCCAAAAAAATGGCCGATTGGTGGCAAGGAGAGGGAGTTTATGTCGATGAATTTCAAGCGGTACGTACTCATTATTCTGCTTTAATTTTTGTTGTTGTTATAAGCTTTTTAATTAATCTATGTACTAACATCGTTGTTATTTTCTCGTAGGTTGGGGAGGACGTCGATATATACAACCAACGGTATTATCTCGAGCAAGGACCGTTGGATCCAACCGACTTGTACGTAGGGCTGGGAAAATAGACCAGACCGTTAGAAAAACCGTGGTCCAAACCGTACCGTATAGTTTGGTCCGGACCGTAGACCGTGAAGTATGGTCTGGTCTGGTCCATGGTCTGTATTATTTTATGATTTGATCTCTTGGTCTGGTCTGGTCTAGACCGCGGTTTACCGGACCAAACCGTGGGCCCAACTGACTTGTCAATACGTGTTAACAGCCCATTCGACCACTATCCAAACTCCCACAACGACACCCAAGTCTCAACCTTAATTTTGTGAATCTCTTCCCTCCTTCATTCACAACCACATTTAACCAGAGAGTAGAGATAATAGTGTCTCCATATGACATTATGTTAATGTTATGACGTTATGGTGCAAGCTGGGATGTTTTTACTTTGTATCTTTGTTATGTACTAAGATTTAGAGTATCAAAATTATTCATGCATGTTAGGATTAATGTTTTAAGGCAAATAACAATTATTTTTCTTGGTTATTGGTTCAATTTTTTGTGTGGTTGACTAAACAAATTATTCATTTTTCGTTGAGTGTGGTCTATATGGACCAGACCAGACCGAACCAGACCGCACAGGCGTGGTCTGGACCGGACCGTATAGTCTGTGGTCTATGCTTTAGCCTCTCGGTCTGGACCATAGACCGTATATATGGTCTGGTCTGGACCAGACCGCACCGTTTCCCAGCCCTACTTGTACGACCAACCCAACCATCGGTCAATGGATGTTTGGAACGCTCACCCGGTACATACAATTCTTCATCATTTGTCCTTCTTTTATTTTGTTAATGTGCCTAGTGTAATATAAAATAAATTTATGTTGATTTTTTAATCATGTTGGTGGTTTTCAATAATTTAATCGAATACATAGTGCCACTTACTTCGACTCTTTATAAAGAGATGCACGTCTAAGGAAATGGGGTTTTAAGCGATTATCATATCCTCCCATTACCTGGGAAAATCGGGTATTAAGAGATCCTCGGATCCCCCCTTTTTCTGTCAAAAAGACTGCGTTTCTAAGAAGATGTATACCTCTTCTAAGAGGGTCGTAGCTGTCTGCACGGACGTTGTTCTCAACTACCATTATGGAGCTGATGAAGATGTATCATTATCTGAATCTGACTCTGGTCCTGAATCATCAGCACCTTCAAGAGGGTCGTAGCTGTCTGCACTGACGTTGTTCTCTCCTTCTTCATCGGAGGGGTCGCTGACTGGTGCTGCCATGGGAGCTTCCATCTGATCCAGCTCATGAAAGGCACCTTCATCAGCTCCATAATGGTAGTTGTGAAAACTACCGCTGCCTGATTGGAAGTTGCACTGGGGTTGGTTGCCGAGGTCCGGTTGAACTTCTTCTTCATATGACGGGAAAGATTGATGATGGCCTTCACCTTGCCCTCCATCTTGGTACTGAAAATAGGAATGAGGATCATGGTAACTTTGGTAGGGATGATCGCCATATAATTCACCTCCACCATGGAAACCAGATGTTTGACCGTGTCAAGAATGACCTCCAACACCAACGACTGACTCGGTGTAGACGAACATCTCGGCTTTGGCCAATTTTTTGGACCTCAAGAATTCGAGCATGGAATCTACTTCATCTTGAGTGGTTATGGTATATTCCTCATGCCACAATGACCCACTTTCTCTGTTTGGATGTCGGTACACCATTCGATCTACTCTTCTCGTGCCATCCATGCAAGTAACGTTAGTGCATATTTGATGGAGGTCTTCAAGCTTCGGTCTGGTACCGACCGTTATTTTCTGAAAATTGCCACCTACGTAGGTGGCCCCCTTTCCGGTCTCTTCTGTGTAACCATTCCATCGTAAGCCAAGCGTGAACTGACGGAATGCCATTTGCACACAAAAAAACCATAGTTAAGTTAATATCATAAAAATCACAAATCACAAATAACAATAAAAAGTAACACAAAATAAACTTACGAGTTAATGTTAATGGCAAAATCACTAAAGAAATATAGGAATACAACAGAAAAATGAAAAGAGAGAAGGAGAGGTGTGAAGAGTAGATGTTTTCCGGCAGTCTTATATAGGGGAAAAAATGAGGAAAATCGCACCTCTAAGGTGCGGTTTTAGTCTGCCATGCAGCCCTACATCCATAATTCTATGCATGGGTTTGTCGGGTGTCGGAATATTATTGACACACAGACCGCACTTGGGGGGTGCGGTCTGTGTAGCTAAACCGCACCTTAGAGATGCGGTTTGGTTTTGGAGGAACAAACCGCATCTCTAGGATGCGGTTTTGCTAGGTCATGCCAAAACCGCACCTCGGCCGTGCGGTTTGTGTAGGGCAGAGTCGAAACCGCATGGCCAAGATGCGATTTCGGCCCAGGAATATGGACCGCACCCTACAGGTGCGGTTTATATACAAAACGCACCTGGAGGATGCGGTTTATATGTAAAACGCACCTCTAGGGTGCGGTCCATAAAAAAGGGTGCTAGTTTTGTAAATATTTTTGGAAGGTTGCTAGTTTTGTATTTTTTTTTTAAATGTGCTATTTCTGGAAAAAAACTCTGCAGATTTAATCACTACCAATGCGACAAAATCAATACCAATGCGACAAAAATAATACCAATGCGACAATAACACTACCACTACGGGAAAAAATGACTACCATTTAAAAAAAAATCACTACGGAAAAAAATGCCTACCAATTAAAAAAAAACATACCAATCCTTAAAGATTGCTGGAGGTCTGCACGACAACCCTAGGCATGGGTTGTTTTCAGGTTTGGAATGTGATTTGAATGAAGTATGGGTTGCGTTTTCGGGAAAGAGCTGAGCGGCAAGAGGCCGACCGGCGGTGGAGGTAGAGGAGGAGTAGGAGAGTCTCGCCGTCACAATCAGCAGCAGCAAGTTGGTGCTGTGGAAAATCAGATCGGAAATGGAGTCGGGAAGGAGATTAGTAGTAGCAACAACAATACGGAGGAAGAAAGCTCCGCTGCTGCTAGTGTTAGCAAGCCGAAAGGCGAGAGGAGAAGGTCTTCCATGAGCGCGACGGTGCTCGGATCGCCACCCATCCGACTGGTGGCTCGCCCGTGGCCGGAGAAAGAGGCGCGGAAGGAGTCGTCGGACAAGCAAACCCTAACCCATCGTTGAGGAGGGTGAGAGCTTGCGGCTACGATGGGTTTGGTTGTAGAAGTAGGGTTAGGGTAGAATATATAGAATAATCAAGTGTGGTCCATTTTTTTCTTTCAAAATTACCCTGAGGCAATTTTAACCGTAAGATTGAAAAAAAAGGAAAGAAAATAAAATAAATGGTGAATAGTGATGTAGCCACGGTGGCTACTAGAAATTCAGTTTCCACCCTAACGCATTCCCAATTGGAGGTATGTATGTAGTGCTCTGTCATTTCACATGGTTGTCATTCTCATAAAGTGATCATGAATTTGCCTTTAGTTGTCTTGGTTGATTTGGGAATTCCTTTAATCATCTGGTGATATGGTCATTGACTACTTAATCCTTTAATCATCTTGGTTGATTTGGTTGATTTGCGATCTGTGTTTCTGAGCAGATTTGGTTTTGGGCTTTCAGGTTTGCAGCAGCAGTGGTCTGGTCCACTGAGTTGCGGTCTCTTATGTTTTTTTTCTGGATTGTGTCCATTGGTTTTCGGTTCGGTTCGTTGTTTCTGTTGGGGGTGGTTCATGGCTTGTGAACCCCAGCTTTGTTCTGAACCTTTTCTGGACTTTGTTTCTGATTTATGCAATTTTCACCTTTATCCAAAAAAAAAGAAACATCCTTGTGGTGCCAGATTCTGATGAGCAGAGCATTACTCGCCAGCGACTGGCTCTGCCTTGCATTGCTTTCCCTTTCCCTTTCAGTAATTAAGTAGTTGATAATATGTTTTAAGATATCACATATTTTTTAGAGAAAATCGAAAAAGGGAAACTTGCCTAATCAATAACTTGAAAAACGTCAGGTAAGAAAAAAACAGTTTTAAGGTAATACGATTGTGTATGAAAATTAGCTGTTATTTTTAATTTCTAGTGTTCTTCTATCATTTAAATTCTTATGTTTACACATTTTTCAACAATAATGATTTCAAATCGAGGTTATCTTGAGCCGAGCTTGTACTCAGCTTGACAAGCTGTGCTAATGAGTATTTACCGAGTTCTACCGAGTCGAGCTCGACCTAGGTTATTTTTGTCAAGCCGAGCTCGAGCTCGAGATGTATTATCAAAATTCTAGTTCGAGAAACGAGTTCGAGCTGAAAAATTTATAAACGACCAAGCTCAAGTTAAGCAAAAACTCGACTCGACTCGGCTCGTTTGCAGCTCTAAATCCTCGACTAAGAGACAACTGATGCCCGAGTAGGACGACCGTCCGGACGCACTACTTCCGCCTTCTTCTCCCCCTAACCTTGAATGAATAGTTCGATTGGTGTTAATGATAGCTCAATTTATCAGACGATTGTGACGCTATATTATAATGATCAACTGCGATTTACCGCAACGATTCACGTCTGTGAGTAGGGATGGCAATGGGTCGGGTTTTGCCAAACCCAAACCCAAACCCATGAGTTTATCCGTGAAAAAAATCCGGGGTAAAACCCATTGGGTTTGAAAAACTCAAACCCAACCCAACCCGCTGGGTATCCACGGGTTCATGGGTACCCACGGGTTTTTGTCGTAAAAAATTTACAATAACAAGTTCCTATCAAAATTAAAGTCACATATCGATCTCTCAATACAAATTATCCATATTTAAAACACTTTCTAGAAAATTCAAGCAAATCACAAATTAACTATACAAATTGTTCAACACCAATCTAGAAAACTCAAGAAAATTGAAGCAAATCACAAACTATTCATAAATAACATGATTAATTGAAAGCTTCTTCCTTTCAATTAAGTTTCTTCACTCTCCACATGTCTCTACAAACATAAATAAGATTAGTTATTTGGAATATTAAGTATACCGAGAAAATTAATTATACGAGTGTGCGTAGGTATCCATGGGTCGGATTTATCTAAATCCAAACTCAATCCAACCCGGTGAATGGTGAACGGGTTTAAATCCAAACCCGACCCAAAACCCGTCAACACAAATTTTACCCGCGTTGATCGGGTTGGGTCGGGTGGGTACCCGTGGGTTCGGTTTTGTTGCCATCCCTATCTGTGAGCGTCTGAGTAAGACTCCAGCTGGGTTTCTGTAGAACAGATCCTGAATTTCAGAAATTGTATCGCTAATCATGCTTCCATGGCCAGAGTAAGTTAAAGAACTAGCACAGACATGCTATCGTTTGCAGTCCAAGAGCGGGAAGACGACGGATTTAAGAGGCTGCGGCGGTGGCTGTCTCCGTTTCGGGGAAGGAACACGGAGAAGAGGAGAAAGGCCAAGGCTTTCCCCGGTAAGGTAAGCCCTACGACGCAATAGTATATATCTTTCATGTGAGATCTCAGACTGCCCGTGACTTTTCTCCCTGTCGGTTCTCAAGTCGCTCGAATTGTGGAGAGCTGAAGCTGCAGACACCCATGGAGAAAAGTTGACGCTTTTGAATTCAACTACTCTCTGACATCATATGTTTCACTAAGGGGCGTTCGATTTGGATCACAAAGAAAGAACTTGTATGTACTGTTCGATAGTTCCTCAGAGGGCTCATCTCTTTCTAGGCTCTTTGGTTGAAGAACTGTAGTCCCAGCTCTCTTTGGTATTTGCATGTTTTGGATTTGATCTCCATCAAGATTAATTGCTCACTGTACAGGTGTTTAATCATAGGCAGGGGAAAGCACTGCTGTTGTGTTGAGACGATGGCATCCAACAATGTTTCTGGCTCGGAGAAGGTAACTAATGTTCTTCCATGTTGAATGGTCATTTTTACATTCTTCATCTCTAGGCGGATTGTTGTCTCATTATTTAGCAATCAATCAGTTGAAAGATGCTGCTTTTCCCTGCAGATCGACCGCATTAGCGCGTTGCCTGATGGGATCCTTGTTGAGATTCTTTCTCTCCTGACCCTCATAGAAGCAGTCAGGACCTCAGTCCTCTCTCAGAGGTGGATTGATGTATGGAAGTTTGTTCCGGACTTGGACTTCCATGCTTTAGCTGTGAGGCTTCGTGCTGTGGCGATAAACGGTCGCTTGGACGTACGGCTCCTCACAGGGGATGAGGTTCGTCTCCAGAAGCACGTTTCAGGGGTTAATCAGGTCTTGGAACAGCATCGAAGTCCAAAAGTGAATCAGTTCCGAGTATCGTTGGAGTTAAATTATGTATCAAATCCTGATGCCGATATTGACAGGTTGATGGTGTTTCCAATCTCGAAAAGAGTCGAGAGGCTAGAACTGGATTTCGGGGATTCACCTCCTGGAAAAAGATCCTGTGTTCTCTCAGAGCCCTCTCTGAATTACATCAGAACAGCGGAGGGATTGTCGAATATCCGATTCCTCAAATCCTTGATACTGAAACATGTTGATGTAGGGAGTGACACCCTTGAGCATTTCCTTTGCAACTGTCCTCTGCTTGACAAATTGGTGGTCTGGGGGTCTTATTATAGTTTAGTAAAGTTTAAGGTACCGGCTGGCACTGGGTTGAAGCACTTGGATGTTAACCACTGTAGCCATCTGAAAGCGATGGAAATCCATGCGCCTAATCTCAAGTACTTGAGATATGCAGGTCCGAAGATTGATCTTCGTATGGAAAATGTGTGTTCGAGTATCCTCGAATTGGAGTTGCATATATGGTTGAATGACTACTCGGTTCTCCATCCTCCTAACACGTTCACTCAGTTAGAGGCCCTCACTTTGACGATTTCCACTGTAAGTATACAATGATGATGATGATGATACAGTCTTAACAACTATTGATTGAATGTTGAAGCTTGAATGATAATGATCAATCACAAACGTGGCAGATACGAAGGGCATCCTTTCTCGAGCCAGTCGAGGATTTAGCATCTCTGAAGCAGCTGACTGTGTTCGTGGATGGTCAGTGTGATGCTTGTGCGCTGGGACTGATTCCACTGATAAACTCTTGTCCTTGTTTGCATCATTTGTCAATCAGGGTAAGAGCAAAAAGGACAGCTGATCTCTTTTCCTCGACCTGCCTTGCCTTGCCTTGCCAGGCTAATAACTATCTCCTCTCTCCTTCCTGTTGTTTTTGTTTTGGGCGTAGCTGTTGACATGCGGAGACAGCAGGGGGCTTGTTGGGCCGACTGGTGAGGTGGAGATGAAAAGGGAGAGCGTCAGAGTGGTGGAAGTAACTGGCTTTGCTGGTGCTTCTGCTTTCTCGCTTGGGACTCATTTTGTGGACTATGCGATCAGGAACTTTGTCATGCTTGAGAAATTAGTTCTTGATCGTCGTATGCACCCGTGCCACGGAAACGAGATAACACAGCCCTTGAGCAAGGATGATGAAGATGCAGATGCGTGCCTTGAGGGGCTAAAACCCAAACTACCCTCAAATATTGAACTCGTCACCATTTAGATACAACTTCTTTTTCTCAAATTTACTGGCTTTGCTGCCTGTTGTCTTGGGCCTGTACTTCGACTGGGATGCACAATGCTGTATCTATCAACTTTTATTTATTGAGTTGCAATAAGAAGAGTTTTTTTTCTTTTTCCAGATTTGAGTCTGAACCATGAATGAATATTTCGATTAGTGTTAACGACAGTTCAATTTCCTCAGAACTCTGGATTCGGACAAACAACATATTCTTTTTCTTCCTTGCCCCCTTTGTGAAGAAGATGCACGAACAGCGACGAAAAAGCGGGAGAAATACTTCGGGTGCCACTGAACTTTTAAAATTGGGGGACGGGTACCATCGAACTACAAATAGGGCATCGGGTACCATCCAACTCTCTAAACTGTGTTTCCGTTCGTTTTTTCCGTCCAGATCAATAACGGAGTGAGAGAAAAAAACGGGGATGCCAGCTCGTCATTGACGTGGGCTTACCTGGCTGCTGACTCGGCTTCAAAATAACAACAAGCTCTGCGAGGTTATGCAAATGGGAATGGGAAGCTCTAATTAGGTTTAGGATAAACTAATCGACACATCACAACCACCTAGTCGAACCCCTCTTCGTCTCGTATTGCCCAGTGGAATCAGGTGGGTTGATCGGCGGAGAGCGCAACCGCAAGAAAGCCAGAGGGATTGGGGCGAGATTCCTCCCCCTAGTCGAACTCCCGTATTCTGCAGACTTGCTCGAGGGGTTTTGGTTTGCGGCGAGATTCGGCTAGAAGGGAACATCGGAGAAATAGCCGAGAAGAAGACGGCAAAGGAGAAGAAGTTCACCGTCATCCTCTCTGAATCAAGATTCGAACCTTCCATCCTCCTCCGAAAACATAACAGCAATTCTAAGAAATTCTACTTCTTTTGAATCTCTGCCCGCACATGGTAAGTTTCTTTCCTTATGTTGTTTTTAGGGTTGGGTTGTTTCTGTATTTCGTTTTCAAGGTTGCATGAACTGCTTTGCTTGTAAACAATGATAGATTTGGATGGTGGAATGTCCCAGACCATTTATATATATTCTGTTTCTTTGTTTCTTTGTGTGATTGTGTAGGGTTTGACTATGACCCATATGCTTTTTGGTTATTTATTGTGGTTGTAGGGTATGCAAGTGGTCCAAATGGTTCTTTTCTTTGTTTGTTTCTGAATGAATGTCAGCAAAAGCCATTGAAGCATTTTGTTTGTTTCCTTTCCACTTTGTATACCTTTGCTGGCATGCCTCTAATAAAGTAATATTTGTTGTAGCTAAACGAGACAGTATGCTAATTTAATCTGTTGATGTATTAGGGATTTGTGGCTAATTTGAATTGTTTATGTTTTAGGGATTTGTGAAGACAAGTTCACAATTGAGCTACATTATGATGGGCACATGAAGTATGTATATGATGATATTGGTTGTTATGTGAAAGGAAAGGTTCATAATTTGTAGCACTTTGAATCAAATGGATAGCCACCTTCTCTACAAAAGACGTTAATTGAACATGAGGCTACTGATTTTGGTTTGCATAGGGAGCTAGCAGGAGTTGTCCATTGAGTCAACTAGAAGGAAATGTAATCCCTTTTATACCACCTAATTTGGGGTATCGGGTATGAGACTTCCACTGTGTTCTTAACTGTCTTTCTTTTTCTAAGATACTAGTATCAATACCCACGGTTACGCCGCAGGAGATTTAGCCGTGTGTAGCATATACTTCAAAAGCAAGTGAAAGGAAAGTTAGCTAAAAATTATATACAAAGAGCCATAAATTCAGTTCTTCGAGCATGCAGAAGATTCAAACCAGAAATGCATATAAAAATGGAAGGAAATTTGCTTTCTCAGCATTACAGATTACTCATCAGACCTGAATTTTGACTGTCTTCCATAATTCACCACCCGCTTCAAGGAAAAATGCTGAACCATCTCCTTTCTCGATTGTGAATTCAACAGTACCTTTACCATTTAGCCTACATGCCTAGGGGTGTTCAAACGATGTGGTTACCATGGTAACCGTTTTAACCAGTACTATTAGGATAATTTGGTTTGGTTAATTTGGATAATTGGTTTGGTTTGGTTAAAGTTTTTAGCTTGTTTGGTTTAGGTGGTTTGGTTTGGTTTCAAACACTCCTAACCAGCCAAACCAAATTAACCATATAAATAATTAATTATATATCTATTATATACACATACTTAATACATTGAATAACCACTCAAGAGTTAAATGTTCATCCTTTTAGACTCATAAAATATAAAGCTTGATATTGTTCCTATAATGTATATTTGTATATGTAGAGTGTAGACCACAACATATGACCGCTTAATTTAGATAAATCTCATACATTATGTTGGATGAAAACTTGAAAGCAAGGTCCTTTTCAGCCTATGAAAATTGCTAAAAGACTAAGTCAATTCAATCAAACACAACAATTCATTAATCCATACCATTGTGATAAATTTTTGTTAGGTGAATACTTCTATGCTAACCGTAAGATAATTGTCTTAGTTGCATGTATTTATGTTCAGGGTCAACTATAACTATGTGTTGATTGTTATGTTTTATTCATTATATAAATTGTGAATTGATAAATTAACCGAAAATTTTCTCACTTGATGATAATATGATTTTATATTGGTTAATCTGGTTAACCAATTAACCAAACCGATTAAACTTTAGTTTGGTTAATTTGGTTGTTGTATTAGTTTGGACAGTTTGGTTATGATATTGCATTCCATGGTTAATAATATTTAGCCTTATTTGATTTGGTTATAACCATGGTAACCATTTGAACACCCCTAAACATGCCAATAGATTTTTTTTTATTTTTTATAATGGCGATTTTATTAAGGGCAAAAAAGGTTCAGAAGACCTGAACCCTGAACAAACACGACTGAGTCGCAAAAACGAAAAGCAGAAAGGAGAAAAGAAATACACGCAGGGGAGGAGAAAGAAAAATAAAAGTAAAAAACAAAAGGCAGCCCGACGGACGAAACCGTCTCCGCTGAGGCAAGAGAAGGAGAAGAAGAGAACACAGATGCAAGGCAAGAAATTTGAATTCAAGCAGAGGCAGGATCTTGGAGTGAGCCAAAAGCCAACCTATAATTACTCGAACACCTTCAGAGCAATCACTTTGGGCGAGCACTGCGAATTCTTGTAAAAGTTAGGTCGTCGATCACTGACTTGACCAGAAGAATTTTCCTGATTCTGATTTCTGGCATGTCACTTCGATCTGGTAAACTGATAACAGAACATAAAACCAATGAAAAGGCTATCATTAGTTTTGTGCATGCATCTATTACTTTGCAATACAACACATCACACATGGATAATTAATGGAAGGACTGACCTTGGAAAATCCTTGTATTGCTCTGGCAACAAATAAGAAGGTCTTGAAGTCTGTTACAATTACAAACCAAGAAAATCTATTCGTTCACCAATTCTACAATGCTTATGGATCCTTCAAAGAAATAAAATTGACAGATGTAAATAATTTAATATTTTGGTGGAGATTGGTGAGCTTGACAAAAGAAATAATTTGATATCTTTGTGAGTCCATCCATGCACAAATAATGAATAATATGAAAAAAACATTACAGCTTTTCAGATTGGCAGGTTGCTGGGTCGATACAGAATAGTGATTACAAAGGAGATTAGTTCTAGTTACTGGATAGAATATTTGAATTGGGAAGAAGCATAAGTGAATTATTACATACTTGTAGCAAGTCAAGCTCAGAAATGGTATCAAGCGAAGATGCAAGGCTCACTGGAACTTTGTTTGGGTCCTGGTCCTTGATGTTTTTAGTGAGAGCTTGCAAACCAACCTTGAAAACGGAAAAAAGGTAATTTAGTATCTTTCAAAATTGAACTTAGACTTTAAATGAAGGGTTAATATTTTCGTATGGCCTGAACTTTGACCAAAATAAACATCCTTGCCAATCTTTTTGATGTATAACATCCTGGCCCAAACTATACACCAAATTAAACAATTTGGGCAGATTTGACTTTTGACCGTTAACTTGGACGGTCAAACGCGTTGACCGTTAGTCAATGCGCCATGTCACTGCCAAGTCAACATAAAATATTTAAAATAATTCACAATTTACACACTTTCACTAATTTTAAATTATTATAAATTAAAAAAAATCATCTAATACCTTAGTTAAACCAAAAATAAAAAACAAAAAAAATTAAATATTTATCAGATCTTCCGACTTGGCAGTGACGAGGCAGTGACGTGGCGAGTTGACCGTTAGTCAACGCGTTTGACCATCCAAGTTAACGGTCAAACATCGGGTTTGGCCAAATTGTTTATTTTGGTGTATAGTTCGGGCCAAGATGTTATAGATCGAAAAGATTGGCCAGGATGTTTAATTTGGTCAAAGTTCAGGCCATACGAAAATATTAACCCTTAAATGAAAATATATTTCTTTAATCCAGTCATTGCTCAAGTGTTTCAAGGATGAAGAGACACCAAGGTAACGTTGAGCAGTTTCCATATTCCAACCATCTCAAATTGCAATACCTACCCATCAATTAGAGACACATGTATGAGGAACCCTTGTCCCTGAACTCTGTAGGTACACTTGGCAAAATGGAGTCCTATTCCTCTATTACAATCTGAAATCATCGCACCATGTTATAAAAATAAAGAACATACACACACTGACACATCTATTTTCTTTAGCTGCTAATGAACTTTTAACATGGTATATGATTATTACAACTCCACCTAGATGCCAAAAAAAAAAAAAGAGTATGATGATAAATACCTTAAGGGTTTTTATCACAAAGCATTCCATTGTTCAGTATGGACTATGACTTCTGATGTGAGATCCTTAGCAAGTATGAGAAAGGACCTGTATGGCCTTGATGTTTGCATTGGCTGGAATTTCCTTCCTTATAAGCAAGTTCTCCAGTCCCTGGGACCTTAGCGTCAGGGGGAATAAAGTGCCACATTTGTCGGTGAATCGACAAATGGATCCCGCCCAAAGATAGGCAGTAGTGAAGACAACTGAACAAACATAATAACCGCAGCTATCAGACCTGTGCTTGAGTGTCAACCTATTCAATTTTCTGATGTATCTTACAAAATACAACGAAAAAGGTTGTCCTGGGAGTTCCTAGTATCAAAGACGGATACAACCCTACCACATGGATGCTGAAAGTGAGTGAAACATAATGGACCTGCAGCTAAATGTGGACTTGGCCCAGATTTATGCAAATTCCTCCCTATATCGGTAAGTACCATCCAACAAACTTACTATGATAACTTACCACTAAGTCATACCAAACATGTTCCTAGATAGGTTCTTCTTTTGATACGAATTTGAATGCTGAATAAGAACTTATTAAGGAGCCCAACACACCAGCACCAGTGTCGAAAGATCTCTACTTCCCAATGCAGGAATCACAGTCTTTCACAACTCAGTAGTCATAGTCCTTATCAAGAATTCCTTAATCGACTTAAAGAATCCAGTTAATTTGAGAATAATGAAATGAAAGATGAAATTTCCCTTCTTGAAACAACTACTGAAACTATTCAACCTACCAATAAAACCCATTTTCATAATCTCATACAAACAATACAGATATAATGAACCAGCACCCCTACAAAATTTGTATGCTACAGGTGAACAATTGATTCTTGCACCAGTATCTCCTATTCACACTGTTGTATTCCTCTTTTGCACACCTCACTAATTTGAACCAATCAAGCACTTAATGAAGCAATCCAATTAAACAAAACTAACAGAAGAAATCAGTATCCCACCACATTTAAATAGAAAAAACAATACCTAAGTTTCAAAATTCAGTCCAACCCTCTTGCATCTTGTCTCCACTACTGGAGTTGGTGAGAAAAGTACCATTCAATGCTTCTCCAGTACCTACTCTCCATCAGCAACGCGCATCTTTCGGGCACCAGAAGACAGAAGTGTCTTGAGAAGGCTTGCTGGTTTTATCCATGTTCCACCACGGTTGTGAACTATTCAAGTGACCGAGGAACTATTAGGAGAAAATCAAGGCAGTGCAGCGGCAACTGGAGATACAAAAATCAAAACCTACCGAATGATCTTTTCATGATGTGTCTCATGAGCATAAGCAAGCAACTCATTTGCCTTCTCACTTGCAGTACCAACCATAACAAAAAAGAACAATTAGGGACAATAAGCAAGCACTTGACCTGAGATCACATCCAAAGCTATAGGTATAGATAATCAATAACAAACTTCGAGTACGCAAGAACAGTAAAGACCATATGAAAGAAAGACTTGGAATAGATCTCATCACATGCGGAAGGACTTGGATCATATCTCTTCTTCTCAGCTGTTACCTCAGCTCTGAGCTTCAGCCATTGGTTTTAAGTCGCTGCTTATCATGATCGGGTTTTTGTTGCAACATTTGTTTTGCTTGTCCGTCGATCTGCACTCCTAATTCCCAATCCAACATCCGTTGTAAAATTTCTCAACCCACTACCATTCTTCTAAGCACCCTTCCATTTTCCCTCCTGATTCCAAGTCCACTATCCGCCATAAACCTTCTCCGCCCACCACCGTAGTCGCCGCCGGAAACTTTAATTTTCAAGTCCCTCAACAATCTGCAGATCAATTCTCGCTT